AGGGAAAGAAAGCACCACACAAGATATTCAATATTTACAATTTTAAAAGAACTGAAGTTACTCCTGTATCCCCCAGCTTAGACATTTTAAAAAGTTGTATCTGTGTAAAAGAATGCCCTTGACGAAGTCATAACATGAGCAGGAATAGAACTGAGAATAGACCTTAACCTCCAAACCCCAAGACCCATATGCAAACTCATTAATAATTGAGCATACAATTTCTTTTTAAACGAACTCTCACGAATACAAAAGAACACCCATAAAGAATTCTTTACTCACTTTTGCAATATCTTCCCGAATACGTAAATTTCGAACTGTGATACGTCTTTTAGAGTCAAAGTTCTGCCCAGGCATATCAATGTCATCTGCATATTTATCTTCATCTTCATCTTCACTGTTATGATCTCTTTCCTGAGGAGAGATGGGAAACTTCTAAATAAAAGAGGACATTCACTCTAGAGACAAGTGCAATAATCTGATTTTAGTGGTTTTGTTAAAAATTCTGTAATCCCTCTAGTTAAAAGCTAGCATAATTTACCTGGGCTTAAGTGTGCTGTCATGCTAATTTAACATTCAACAGTTTTCAGAAATACTCTTGTCAAAGGATTTCTACTTCCTCACATGGAAACAGTTACAAAAACATAACTGTGATGATATTAAGAAAACAGTTCTCTTGGTAAAATATACCACATATTAAAAACTAGTTATTTGCTTGCATCTCTAAGGTTTGACAACACACAGCAATTAAAACCAAAAAATACTCTACGAAATCCAACAACCTCTGTCCAAAAGAACAGGCAGCCAGCATCATGAACCCAACATTCAAACCCTTATGCCACCCCTGTTTCACTGTTCCACTACTACATGTCCTTTTTTCTGCCCATGGTGTGATGCGGCGGGTAATCATCTTACTGTCTGTGAATTTGGTTCCTCTTCTCCCCACTGGTGTCTTGGGGAGTTCTGCAGCAAACAAAGAGCACATCAGCAGAGAAGACAAGATAGTGCGGAGGGGAAAGACGGCAGGGATATAAAGAGCAATCAAAGCAGAGCTTGATGCTGGATGCAAAATACAATTTACCTGTGGCACAAAATGCACAAAGACTGCTATATAGTGTTCTAGGAAAGACCTTCTAAGTGTCTCTATTACAGACACACATTGGAGACCTTTCCGCTGTGTTCCCAACCAGATTTCCAAGCCTTTGCACGAACAGCAAATTCTAGAACTGTCATTGTTATTTAGAGCTTGCTATGCCTTTGAACACTAATGCTTTAAAGTAGAATATTTCCTATCATGCAAATATTAACCAAGATTCAGCTCTGAAAGCTTAAAAAAAATATTTTAAGAATATATGTATGCAAGTATTTAGTTAAGATTGACAAGAATACTAAGCATGAATCAGAAGCCATAATTTATTCTGCAGAAACATAGCCAGAATTTATTTTCATAACCTGCTTAGCCTCTAACTTGAGAATACTTCCAGCAGTAAACATGCAAACAACTGTGAGTCCTGGAAGACTGACCAGCAAACTGGCCAGCACTGACTATGCAAATCAGTCTTGGTCCTCTCCATCAAAGATAGTTCTTATGTTTCAAACCTACTTTTCTCCTTACAGTTCTATTTTATAAGGAATAAGTATATGGAAACAAACAATGTTTGCCTTGTGGTGAAAACAGGCACCAAAAAGATAAAGAATCTTTTCTATCAGGAAGGTCAGAACGCTGTAGTTTGTGCTGGCAGAGCACTGGAACAGGCTCCTCAGAGAGGTTGTGGAGTCTCTTTCTCTGGAGATACTCAAAACCCGCCTGGATGTGATCCTGTGCAACTTGCTGTAGGTGACCCTGCTTTGGCAGGGGGCTGGACGGGATGATCTCCAGAGGTCCCTTCTAGCCCCGACCATTGTGTGAGTCTAAGCTAGGTTGGAGATTAAGTTCACTCTGCCATCTAGTGACAAAATGCAAGGTGACAACCTCTGGAAAGATGGGAGGCTCAATTGTATGTACTCCTTTGCTCGCTGTTTTCTTTCGTACAATATTAAAAAAAAAAATACTTCTGAGCAGTAGCAGTCTCTACTTTTTCCCCATTTTATAAACTTATCAAAATTCCTCTTAAAATCAGAATTTTTTATCAAAAGACGATCAAAAGCACTGTCTATAATCTAATAGGAGCTTGTAGAAGTTAGTGGAAGATGCAAACTCTGCAGTTATAAGCCAGAGGGAAATGCATATGCTCAGCCTTCACATAATCACAGACACTGCGAATAGTCATAGCAACAACTGAGGAAGAAACAAGTTTGGTTCCAAGATAAAGAAGATACCTCCCTATTCCAATTTATACTAAGCATTACTAAAACAATTCACAGTCACATAATAGTCATTACCTCAACATTAGTCAAACGTAACAATCTTTAAATACAAAAAAAAGCATTTCAGTATATGAACAAAATTACTACATGGAAAACGAGTTTTTCTGACCCAAAATTCCATGCCATTAATTTTCGCAAGAATAATAATCACACAGAATTTCTGCCATAAGGGAAAAACAAAGCAACTCTCATCTGAAAGAAGACGCGTCAAATTCTTGAATGTGACACAGAATATGCCGGTGCTACGAAAATCTTTGAATTACTGAAGGGCGTAAAAAACGATAGCAGACCCCATATAGAGAGTAAAAGCATCAGAGAGCAGAAGTAACCTGTTGTATTTTTATTCAGCCTAGGCAAAAATAAATTAGGGTTTCATTTACTTACCACTTGCTCCAGTTTTCCTGATGCTAACTCTTCTTGAAGCTTCTGGGCTTTCAGTGTACGTTTGGCCTGTGTATCATGAAAATGCATTTAATATTTCCTTTTAATAGCAAGTGTGCAGTAATACTTACTATAAGCATGTATTGTGACTGCTGTCATTTAAAATGGATTCATTATTACAAAAAAAAAAAAAAGTTTTTTCTGACTCTCCTCGTGCTTGTAAAAAAATCAGCAGCCCAGAGCTTGTCTCCTCTACTCCTATGCTTTACCACGTTGTTTTTTGAGCCTCAAGGAAAGGAAGTTATGTATACTAAGCATTTTACTATTTTATATTATCCTGTCAAATAAAACCATTTACTAGAGTTTATGCAGCTATGCCATTACTACATTCATCCTACTTTAAGGAAGAGATAGATTGTTTTAGTTCTATAGTGTTTAAAAACAACCATGTCTTATTATTGTGTCCTCATAATCTAGTTAGAAACTTCAGCACTTAAGGTACTTCATTACTGATGCTGCAAGCACTTATGGTTCAGCCAGGAAGCATCAAAGTCTAGCATCTAAAGTGAGATTTTAAAGCAGCAGGTAGTGAATTTTTGTATGTGTCTGACATCATAGAACCACAAAACAGTTGATATTGGAGGTACCTCTGGAGACTGCCAACGACAATCCCCTGTTCAAAGCAGGCTTGTCTACAACAGGTTGCCCAGGACTGTGTCTACGCAGGTTCTGATTACCTCCAAGAATGGAGACTCCCCAGCCTTACTGGGCAAGCTGTTCCATTGTTTGGTCGTCCTTACAGAAGAACATTTTTTTCTTATTTTTAAAGACAATTTCTTGCATTTCAATCTGTGCCTGCTTCTTCTTGTCCTGTCACTAGATACTACTGAGAAGAATCTGGCTCTGTCTTTAAACTGTCCCATTAGACATTTATACACACTGATTAGATCACATTTAGCATTAGCCTTCGTACACACTATAGCAAAATACTGAGGACCAGGCACCGAAGGGAGTTAGTTAAGCACCTAACTACCTTTTGGAACAGGAAGCTAATATCCAGCCAAGGCAGTGAAATTTTTTTTTTCTCCTTCTAAAAAGTTAATAGTGTCCACGTGGATTTCATGCAGACAGATAGAAACTTAACTGCAACAGCAAGGTGCAAATATATATACATACACAAATAGTCCACTGCTCTATCATGGTAACAAAAAGGATTCATAAGTAAAATAATATGAATGATGTTATAAAATAGATATAGATTTATTTGCTCTAATACAGCCAGATAATAAATTCCTTTCTTGCCTGCAATTCAATCCCCATCTTGGGTAATAAATTCTAAGGCTTGTCTATTAAAAAGTAAGCAATCTGGACAGACACTTCATTTATTGTACAGATCCACACTCAGTTGCCAGTTCTGATCTGAATTTTCAGTTTAAGTGAAGTTTGCTATGAAGAATCCATCTCGCTTTTTCATTATAAATACCGCACAAGGTCTAGTATTAACAGCACACATAACAAATGTTCCTCCTCCCAGCCAAGCCAAACACTAAACCTTTCCCCAGTAAACCATAGCACCTACATACCAAATCAACCTTGGAATATTCCTCTACAATCTTCATGTGCTCTTCTGGGTTATAACCATTCCAACGATCTCGCTTTCCATCATAATCAAACATCAGTTGAGGCTGCACATGTTCGTCTGGTGCAATATTCATGCCTGTGTATTTTGCTCCAACTTTCCTGGGTCTCTGAAAGCAAAAAAAAAAAAAGGTTGGATCAGTCCATTAGACTAAAATACATTATTCGCTCAGATATCTCTTTAAAAATAGTATCAATTGAGCTCCTCTAAAGCCAGTTAAATTCAGCACTATAAGCTTATGAATTGTAAATAATGCAAGTAGTTAATTTCTGTCTTTTAAAGTAGTGCAACTGACTCCAAACCCCATCAATTTTTAAGTCTAATTTCCACAATTAAGAAAGCAATTAAAACACAGTTTCTGGGGATAGCTTTTAGCAGTCATGAAAGACAGGTACAGCAGCACATGAGTTAAAGCAAATTAATGTGAAGAGGTAAACATTTTCACCGATTATTGCAGTGCTTATCACAAACAGAACTGATGAGCAACACCCTGAATAGTATCGTTTTCCTTCATTTTTCCTACGTAACAATTTCTTTAGAAATTTTCAAGCCACCTTCCAATACTTGTAACCTTTTTCAAAATAGCTTTTTCAAAACTAGTAATTTTTAACTATTGCCAGCTACTTAATCTATTCACTAAGATTAGAATTCACATTGTTTTCAAAAACACAAAAACAACAACAAAAGTCAAGTTTACCTCCATACAGTCTTTCTTTTTATGTGTCAAAGCACCACAGTTCTCACAAGCTCCTTTACGATATCTAGTCGCTATAGCATGCTAAACAACAAAAAAAAGACAGCGTTGTACAAACTTGTGGCAAGATTCATATATGTGTTCCCAATAACTAATTCATTTTTTCAACATTATTGAAGCGTGCATGGTTTACCCAAACCCAGAACACATATTTTGATTATTACCAAACACTGCGACTTGCCTGCTGATTAAGAATTCTCAGCTCCCATCTCCCTCAAACACATGTAACCAGAAATTATTTCTTTACGGAATCAAACAAAATCTTTATTTTGTGACAAAAACATTTTGCATACCTCTTGAACCCCTCGTTTGTACCAATCTCCAGAGGAGCTATACTGTTTCTGCTTCTCTGGCTGAGGTCTCTGATGCTTTAGCGTAGGTCTTTTAGAAGGATCTATGTACCATGGTACTGACGATATGTACTGAGGAATATGAGGATTGATATCTCTGTAAAAGATTTTGTGTAATAAATGTACAGCATAGGGGAAAAAACCCCACAACAACTTAGCCTAACAAATAACTCTCACATTACAGTTCAGTGCTTTAGGAATACTAATAAAACAATGAAATTGTTACAATGCATTGTAAAATAAACTTTACTTTAACCACGTAAACACAGACTTTCATTGAGGTTTTGTTGCCATCTAATTAACCTAAACTCCCGACTCCAAATCAGATACCTTATTCTGTGCAATGTTACTGAGCACAAAAATAGCAACTATCTCAGAAGCAACGAGCAAGAGAGAGGGAACAGATAAGGTATGCAGTAGAGTTCCCCAGTACTATGTTTTGGTCACTTTTAAAATACCATTTGTAAGTAGCACACAGATGGAACTTTTCAGTAGCACTGTCAACAGATCACAGTAGATAAACACTGAACCTATTTTTTTGGTAAATACCTGTTTTCTGAGAACAACTAGAATGTTAAAAGCAAATTCACACAGTTAAACTATTTACTTCTACAGTGACTCCTGTACAAATCATGTACCACCCTCATGATTACTCTGTAATTACAACAGGAAAAAGGACATTTTTAATCAGTACTTTAGAATAACCACAGCTTTAATAAAACTTACTTTCCTTCTTCATCCACCTCAGCAGGTGCATTTCCCAGTTTTCTTTGTTCTTCTAATTCCTTCTTTTTCCTCCAGTCTTCCCTTGTCATCTTTTTTGGCTCCTCCAGGCTCACATCATTTGATCCTCCTGAAGGAGTGGCATTCATTACTGCCCCTGATGCCATTTTCTTTATTCCTCTGTAGCAGGAGACAAAGAAAAAGCCTTACAGATCAGTATCATTTGACAGCACAGTTCTTCAGTGTGGCCTTGTATAATTCAATGAAACCAGCAACGCTGTATTACGCATTCTCGACGTCTTTCCACAAAAACAAGCACTAAGGCTGAAAAAAATTATCTTATTAACGCTGCTCGTGTCTAACCAATATGATACACGACGGGGACGAAGAGCAGCAGCTCTGCACAGAGCGCCAGGACAGGCACTGCCGGGCCCTCCCGCCGGCGGGGCGGAGGACACGGACCCACCCACCGCCGCACGGCCGGGCAGAGCTCGCGGGCAC